CCACTGAGAGTGAGTTGATTGCTTTATTTTCTTTGTTCTTTACTTTTCTAGTCTGTCTCAGTTAAATGATCTACAATTTTATCGATGGTTCTTGCTTGCTCTGAGAATGTGCCAAATGGGGGCTGGAGCTATACTTGCATAATTTTTATTACCAAAAATATCCCATGCTGAACCTGAGATAGCAAAAAATTCAGGAGATTCTCATGATAGTGGGAAAGTGAACAGTTCCCCTAGTAATGTGTACTCCAAGGTAGGGAAACTGTGCGACGTCTCTCCAGTTTGGCCCTGCAGCTTTCCTTGCTGTTGCTACTCTATGTCACCTTTATCATTTGATGCAGTGCCTCCCTGTGCCTTCCAAACTGCCATTCACTGCTTCTTTTCTGAATTGCTATTAAAAATAATAATAGCTAATATTTTTATAGTGCCTACTATGTGCCAGGCATTGTGCTAAGTACTTTACAAATATCTCAGTTGATCTTCACAACAACCCTGTGAAATAGGTACTATTATAATCCCCCTTTTACAGGTGAGGAGACTGAGGCAGAAAGAGATTTAAGTGACTTGTCCAGGGTCACAGAGCTGTTAAGTGTCAGCAGCTGGATTTGAACGCAGGTCTTAATGACCCCAGGCCCAGCTCTCTATTCCCAGCACCATCTAGTTGCTGTTTACTGAAGTTGTCTGCTTACTATTTCCTCCTCAAAGGGATTATGACTCTTATAAGACTCTTAATCTTATATGACTCTTAGTCAACAAGCCCAAGGCTTATTAACACATTTTTTTTTTTGGTGAGGCAGTCAGGATTAAGTGACTTTCCTAAGATCACACAGCTAGTAAGTGTTAAGTGTCTGAGGCTAGATTTGAACTCAGGTCCTCCTGACTCCAAGGCCAGAGTTCTATTCACTTCACCACCTAGCTGCCCACACATTTTTAATTCTTTTATTAGTCATGTCTATATACACCACTCTTGACTGTCACACAAAAAGATTGCTCAGATGTCAAGATCTTTCTTATTCATTTACACCACACCTCCTTCCTACCCAGCCCCCAAAATTCCAATGTCCTCACTCCTAGCTGACTCAGGCTAAATAAATTCATTTCTTCTCCTTGACTCAGAGTACAGGCTTGGAGCTTCTCTCCTCTGCCACCATACACGTGATCTACACTTCCTACTGAGTCTTTCTGAGCCTGGGAATAAATGTATGCACAACTGCCCATTTACTTTTTCAAAGTCCATCACAGCAGCTAGTGCTCAACCATGCAAATCACCTCATTTCAACAAGCCTCAAGGAGACATTAACACTGGAGTGCAACAGGTGAAGCTGATGCCCTTCATCCTGCAATCCTACTGGCCACAGCAAAAAGTCCCTGCACCCTTTATATATGCACGTAGGTGAATATTTCAGGTCCTTTTTACACATGAGCATGTGCTCGAGAGTCACACACACACACACACACACACACACACACACACACACACACACACACACACACACACACACACACTTCCTGTCTCTTTGAGTCACTGTTTTCTGGTCTCAGCAACATTGCAAGTCTCCTAAGGAGCTCTGAATAACTTCCAGTGGGACCTGGGATCCAAGCTGGGTCACTGGGTGATTTGGGAACAAACACATTCTATTCATTCTGGTAGGAATCTCTATCCCTTCTCTTTTTCTTTCTCTACTGATCTGCTTTTCCTGGAGTCTGTGAGATGGCACGATGGATAGAGCACTGGACCTAGAGCCAGGAAGAACTGAGTTCCAACTCAGCCTCAGATACAAGTTGTATGGCCTTGGGCAAGTCACATAATCTCTTTATGCCTCAGTTTCCTCATCTGTAAAATATGGGGATGATAATAATAGCAACTACCTCTCAAGGGTATTGTGAGGATAAAATGAGATAATATTTGTAAAGTACTTCACAAATGTTAAAGTGTTATGTAAAAGCTAGCATTATTATTATTAGGTCCATGAATTTATCTTGTTGCCACTCATGGTATCTCCTAGGTGAGACAGCTTGCCCTTCTTACATAGTACATTAGAAGGAACACTGGCTCTGTAGTCAAAAGATCTGGGTTCAAATATTGCCTTTCCCTCTTACTGTCTCTGTGACCTTGGGCAAGTCACTTCCTGGGCCTCAGTTTCCTCATCTGTAAAAATGAGAGAGCTGGTGTCTGATGTCCCTGGTAGCTGTGGCTCTCTTCAAACTCTAAGTCACCTCTGTATTTTAATAAAGGCTTTCTATTCTGAGGCAGAGTAAACCTCTGTATAAAACCACTACAGAGTTATCAATAGAAATGTCTGGAGCTAGTGATAAGCTTCCTAATCTTAGCTAGTTTCACCTGGAAATCAGGCCAGGGCCCCAGGCCTGTGAGATTATAGCAGTGAGAAGCTCACCCCACCATTCTTTCCTTCTAAAGCTGTGGGCTCCAATTCCACTGCACGTGTCCTATGGGTAAAAATGACACCTACTTAGTTTATATCTACAGTATATAATTTCCTGACTCCAAATACACCAGAAATATGGCTTCCTTACACCAGCCCAGAGCAATTACTCCATTTGCCATTATTCCCTGGAGATGAATCTGTGTGCAGTAGTGCCACTTTATCAGAAATAATAAAAGTTTGGCAGCACCATATTATGGGTGTGATATGTCACTTAAATATAAAAGCTGTTGATGAAGCCAGATTTTAAACCAGCACAGAGTGGTCCGGACTCTATCCCCAACATGCTTTGTTCCTCCCTGGACCAATCTGCCAATCTGGTCTGTTCCCTTTTTCCCGTTTTGAGCCGTCAATCCCCAAAATCCTGTGGCCATCATGACCCTCTCCCAGAACTGCCTTTCCATTTGGTAGAATTCCATTTTTTGAACCTTTTTACCAAATGGAATCTCCCAAACCAGCACAACTTCTGTAGGAGGATGAGAAGTGAAGGCAAAAATCTCTGGACCTGCGTTCAGAACCCTCCTTTGTCATTTACAATCTGTGTGACTTGAAGTATGTTATTTAACCTCCTTTTCCTCATCTATGAAATAAGAGGTTGAACTAAATGGCTCCTTAGGTCTCTTCTAGCTCTAAATTGATGATGATGATGATGATGATGATGATGATGATACTGAGTCTTTCCATCCCTGTTGGAAGTACAGTGGTGGCCACTCAAAGGCCTGATTCTGATACTGATCAGCAAGGAAGCTTTAATCTGCTCTGTTTTTCCAACCACTGCCTATGCCAGCCTGCCCCTCCTTAGAAGCTCATCATATTGATGCAGGACTCAGTGCAGACACCCCAGCTTTAGCCCTTCTATAGCTCGGAACTCCAGAACTCTTGTGATTCATTAGCCTCAGCCTCCCGAGAAGTAGGGACTACAGGAATAGGTTAGCATGCCCAGCTATGATCCTATATTAAAAGGTTGTTGTCATCCAATTTGCAATGTAGTATAGAGAAAAGACCATTGGACTGGGAATCAGGAGACCTGGGTTCTAGCCCAAGTTCTGCCACCAAAATGCTATGTGACCTTGGGCAAGTGACTTCCCTAGGCTTCTTTCTTCCCCAGTCCAGCAGTGGAAGCAGGGTTAGACTAAATGTTGTTGAAAGCATCTCACAGCTCTGTCATCCTATAACTATCATGATTCATTCACTTGATAAATATTGAGAACCTATGTGTAAGTCAGTGTGCTGGGTGCTATAAGGCACATGTGGGTGAATAATGATCTCGTTTCATATAACACTTTATGAACAGAAAATGTTTTTTATATATGGACTAATTTGATCCTCACATTATTTTTCGAGGGTGGCAGTGCAAAGATTATTGCCTCATTTTGCACATGAGGACGCTGAGTTTCAGAGCGGTGAATGGACCGAAGAGTACTATGGTTTGCCAGTAGTGTAGGGGATAGGGAGGGCTGAAGAGACAGATGGCCTTAGAGAATCAGAGAGGGAAGGAAGGTTAGGAGAAGAGATGCTGGCAAGGGTTGGAATTGGTCCGGGGCCCAAGGTAAATAAGAACAGCCGCTGATGGGCCTCTAGGCATTTTGAGGAGAGCTAAGGTGAGGTCCCAGACAGGACAAGGTGTTTTGAATGGCCTGCGGCAAGGTCTGAAAATTACAAAATTTATCTCTCTGTTAACTCTTTCCCCACAGCCATCCTCATGCAGAAAAAAATCTAGTCCCTCTTTCACATAACAACCTTCAGGTATTTGGTCCTGAAGACTGTGATCATTTCCCACCCGCCCCCACCTCAAGCCTTCCCTCTCCAGGCCTGACACCCCCAACTCTTTCCTGATCCTGAAGAGTACAATTTTCAGGACCCTCCCTCTCCAGCAGGGCGTGGGGTAGCAGTCTAGAGAGTTAACTACTTTGTACCGGGCTTTTGAGCTGGGCAGCTAAAAAAGATCATGGGTTTGTGGCTTCAAGCTGGAGGGGCAAGGAAGGGGAGGCCACAGCTATCCGCCCAACTCTCCTGGGTTGGGGGGAGGGGAGATCAGCATACATTGTCTAGATAAACCAGGCGTTGGGCGTCCGAGCTCTTCCACTGTCCCAGTGCAGTGTAATGAAACCGGTATGGAGCAGCTCAAACTCAGCTCACCACTCTGTGTGCCTGGCCCCCGTGTACCCATCCATACATCCAGACAGCCGCGTTCTAAGCGTCTTAGACCACAGGTTGCTCTGGCCAGCAGGCCGTGACGCAGGTTTGGAGGCTCCTTTAACGTGCACTCCAGGTGGTCGCCCCCAGCTCCCACCCCCACTCCTAATCTGAACTGAAATACGCTTTGCAATCTCTCTGGTCTCGTCACCCCGACACCTGAACTGATGCCCATCTTTTCTATTGGCCCCTTCGTTCTAATGGAAGGTTTACGTTTTGCAAATAGCCCAGGCTGAAGGCGGGGGTTCCGCGCTGTGCTGGGCCCCCACCCCAGCTCAGTGTATATTAAATATGCTTCGCTTGTCAATTTCTCGCCCGTACGTTTCTGCAGAGGAGGCGGGTCCGCCCCCCGTGCGCGCAGGCGCGCGCCCAGCCTGGGAAGCCGCAGGCTCCGCGTTCAGTGACCACAGGCTGGTTATTGTAGGTAAGGAATCAGATAAGAAAGTAATTTATAAACCTCTTTAAATCATCAAAATGCAGCTCGCGGAGGGGCTTCTCGGGCTCCCGGGCCTCGGCTCCCCTTTTGCGTGGCAGGGCAGGGGTTTTTGAGCAGCCCCCACTCCGGCCTCGGCCAAGTGGACCGCCTTCCGTGGGCACGTCTTATGCAAGGGGGGGGGGATGAAGATGTTCGAGAAAATCCCTGTGGAAGTGGGTTTGGCTGCCTCGCGGGGCAGGAAGTGGAGGGGGGGCTGGGCCCGTTTTTGGGGCGTTTTCTGGCTAACCTGGGAGAGTTTGGGTGTGTTGGGTTTTTTTTTTTAATGCAACCCATTAAGAGTTTTAATTAATGCAGAGGAGGAAGGGGCCGGAGAGGGCAGATTTTTCCTTTTCTGGAAAATGGGTCATTTCCCAAACTTTTTTTCCTTTCATTGATTTTTTTTTTCTGGGAAAGGAAAATGAGATCTGTGTCGGGGGCGGGGGGGGACAGGAATAAAAAGAATTCCGCCATTTTGATGTTTTAAAAAAAGTAAAGTGGTTTCGGGATGACAACGTCTCGGAGCCAGGGCTGCAAAGGCGGGGGGCGGGGGCGGTGGCTCCGGGTGGGCGAGGGCTGCCGAGCCTGGAGATGAGCCCGGGGCGCCGGCACGGCTCGGGAGCTGTCCCCGCAGAGCGCGCTGGGTGGAGCGCGGCCGGAGGTGCTGAAGGAGGGCCGGGAGCCTGCAGGAGTGGAAGTTTGCAGGGATCGCCCTTTTTCCTGGGGAGGGAGGAGGGGAGGGGAGAAGAAGGGGAAGGGTCCCTGATGTTTTCAGGGGAGAGAGGGATAGAAATGGGAGGGACTGAGGAGAGGACCAGACGTATGCTGAGCGATAAGAGCAGAGCAGAGGTTTGGGGCCTGTCCACGGCCAGGCTTGAAGGGCCACCCCACCCCACCCCGCCCATCCCCATCAGCAAAGAGCTTTCCTGTGCCCCTGCTGTGTGGCCTTGGCCTTGTCAGCAGGTGGAAGAGTCCTGTAGGTAAAGGGACAGTATTTTCTCAACCAAATCCTGATACATGCCTATCTCTTCTGTAAGAAGATCAAAGTAAACTTTCTTTTCTTCAAATCCGGACTGTCCCGGAAACCTTGGGAACTATGGTCCCCCATCTGCGTTAGGACACTATCACTGCATTGTGAGTGCCCACAGCCTACTGGGGGAGACAATTCAATTCATTAAACATTTATTAAACAGGCTGTGGAGGAGATACAAAGTTTAGAGAAAACAGGGACACTGCTGTGCCTCTGGAGCTCATATTTCAATACTTATAATTATAATATTTATATAGGTCCTCCAGGCTTAAAACCTGTTATATAAAATACTTCACGACACTGGTTGAGGGGGGAAATGCTGTTATCACTCCCATTTTACAGATGAAGAAACTGAGGCTCCAAAAGATTGTTACTTTGTAAACCATAGTCATGTGTGATAAATACACAAATATGGCAGGTAGGCTGCAGTGGGGGAAAAAATACTGAATTTGGATTCAAGCAACATGGGTTCGAATCCTAGGGTCTGCCATTTGCTCTGTGACCTTGATTATGTCACCTAACCTCAAAGCCTTAATTTCTACCAATGTAAAATGAGTAGGTGGACTTGAGGTCCCCAAAGGTCTGTTACAGCACTGAATCTATGATACTAATAACTAGAATACAAAATAACAGCAAATAATAGATGATAAAGGCGTGAGAGGTGCAAGCAAAATGTTTTGTGAGATCTTAGGACAGAACGCAGTCAGGGTACCAGGGAAGGCTTCCTAGAATTGAGCTTTAAAGTAATTTCCAGCACTGGAGTGGTTTGGGAGAGGCCCTTCTAGACTTAGGCAACTGGGAGCAAGGAAATGGGAAAGTAAAGGGGAACCTCAGGTCTGGCGCCTAGAGTACCTGGGAGGGGAGTAATGTGAATGAAGGGTGGCCCAACCCACCCGCATCTCAATTGTTTGTAATCTTTGCCTTCCTTCCAGGTCCAAGTATGACACCACTTCCTCCTGGAAGCCTTCCCTGATTTCACTTATTCCCAGATTCTGTTACTGGTCTGAATTAAAGATAAATAAGAATTCATTTTAATGCTTATTTATTGAGTTCCTGCTTGATGCATCAAAATCAGGCTTCTGGTTCCTGAACCCTTGAATTCTGTATCTGTCAAAGCTCTGACACTTGGCAGAAAAGGGTCTGTTTATTTTATTTTTATGCCAGCCTAATGGGGGTTGGGGAAAGAGATGGCCAAAGATTCCTAACTTCCCATTTTTTAAAAAAATCTGTCCTCTGTGAATTTATTTAAAGCTAATTATATCTGTACAGCCTATCTCACCTCTTGGGATAACATGTTCCATAAGTTGACTCCCTGATGTGGATGGTCAGACTTCCTTTGCTTTGTCCTAAATTTACCTCTTTCAAGTTTGTGTTGAGTCCCCTTGAAGAATCTGGGATTTGGTGAACAACTCTCTCTTCTCCCCACCACCCTTTCATGACTCTAGAGTCTCAGCTGTCCCCAAAGGCTGCCCCTCCCCAGCTGGAAGAGGGATGAAAAGGCCTTTTTTCAGATGAAAAGGCCTTGTCCCTTGAATGATGCTGTTGGACGTTTTCTGAACATCCCCAGCTCCTTTAAGGGACATGCCACAGTGCTGATGACCTTTGTTCCTTCCCACCCTGTTTTTTAGGTCTCTCCCCTCCCAACTTCCCTCTCCCCATTCCTTTGTATGTATGTTGTACTGATTTATCTGCCTACATGTTGGTTCACCCCAGTAGAGGGTAAACTAGAGGCAGGGGGTTTCATTTCTGTCTTTGTTTCCCCGCGGGTGTCACAGGGTGCTTAGCATGTAGTAGGCACTTAATAAATGCTCATGGAGTTACTGCCAGATCACAATACCATAGATTTAGATCTGGAAGGGTTCGTTTGGTCTAACCTTGTCATTTTATAGGTGAAGAAACTGAGACTCAGAAAAGAAAGTGACTTCCCAGGTCATACACTGAAGTGGTAGAATAGATGAAATTTGAACTCAGTCCTCTCACTCCAAATCTGGCTTCTCTCTCCACTGTTCCACTCTGCCACCTGAAAAGCTGTTTATAATACACTTATCTAAACTGCTTGTTTGGGAAAGCAAATTACTTTTCATGGTACCATGTACCATTTATACTTAAATGCCTTTCTAGAATGTTAACTAGTACCTAACTGCCTTAGAAAAAAATCCATTCACTTAAAAAAATGAACGGTTTTCTCCCTGAGGGTAATTATTCTTCTGTTCTGTCCTACACAGTGTCCCTGCTGATTTGTAGCTGCTTGAGTCTGATAAGGCTCATCCCCAGGGATGCTGCTGCTGCTGCTGCTACTTCCCTAGAAACCTAGAGACCAGGTTAGAGTTGAATCAGGAACATTCAACAGCCAGGGCCAGGCCTTCTTCCCTACTGGGTCTTTTGTGCCCCAGGAGCTGATCAGGATCTGCGTAGAAGTCAGAATTCCACATAGCTGACACTTACAATTTATAAAGTATATTACAAGTTTGTTTGTTTGGTCCTGTCATAACCCTGGAAAGGAAGGTGCTATTATTATTGTCCCCATTTTACAGATGAGGAAACTAAGTCTGGGAGCGGTTTAGTGACTTGCCCAGGGATCACACAGAGAATAAGTGACTGAGATAGGATTTGAATTCAGGCCTTCCTGTCTCCCAAGTCCACTTATTCACTATCCCAAGGGCACTATCCACTGTGCTTTCTACCTGCCTTTCTTTTCTTGGGGAAAAATTTCAGTTTCTTTCTACGTCTTTTGGCTTCAGGTTAATGATTTGGGTTTGTTGGGGTTTAGAGGTTTGTTTGGTTTTTGGGGGGGGTTGGTTTTGTTTTGTTTTGTTTTGATGAGGGCAACTGGGGTTAAGTGACTTCTCCAGAGTCACACAGCTAGTGAGTATTGTGTGTCTGAGGCCGGATTTGAATTTAGGTCCTCCTGACTCCAGGACTGATGCTCTATCCATTGCACTACCTAGATGCGCCTATTTTTTAAACACGTAAGACAAGGATTGACTTCCTTGGCCTCCTATTCCTAACATGGTGAGATTAACCTTACCTGGCCTGGGCTGGTGTAGCTCTAGTCTGTTGTCATCAGTGGAGACTGGTCACTCTCTTCCCAATGCTTGTCGACTTATAGCCAGCTAGGCAGGCAGTGGGGAAGGAGAGAATGTCATAGGAAGATCTCAGGGTACAAAGGCCTTGGCCCAAGGCCTTCACCCTGGAGCCCTGAGCAGATTACTTCATAGAAGTCAAACCTATGATTTCATTGTTATCAGGAACTCCCAGATGAGAAAATTCCTTCTAACAAAGCAGGTAGAAGGACCTTCTCTGCAACTTACAAAGTCTTTAGAAGTTGTCTGCAGCACTAAGAGGTTCATTGACATGTCTAAGGTCACACAACCAGAATTTGTCAGAGGTGGGACTTGAAGTATAGCCCTCTTGGTTTTAGGGCTTTTCATCCTCTCCACCATGGTGGAATCTTAAACCTAGAGGAGCCCTCAGAGGCCACCTGGTCCAAAGCATGCTTCCTTTTTACACTTTCTCTGATAATCATGCAGCCCCTTCTCAAAGACTGTCTGTAATGGAGAGCCATAGGTCTATAGAGTTAGAATTAGAAAAGACCCCCAAGGTCATTTAATACAACCTCTACATTTGCCAGGGTCACACAGGCAGTAAGTAACATAAGGCAGCCAAGTTCCATTGCTGGACAGCTCTAATTGCTTAAAAAAACATTCCTTATGGACATCTGCTTCCCTGTAATTTTCGTCATTGGTCCTCAATCTGCCCTTTGGGACTGTGCAGAACAAATCGAATCCCTCTATGTCTTAATAGTCCTTGAGCTGTGGAAGAGTGTGATCATATCTACCTTCTCCCCCACCCCATCTCCCCCAACCCCACCCCTGCCCTATGTCTGGTCCTCTTCCAGCTAAACAGTTCTCATTCCTTCAACCAGTCCTAAATGTGATGTGATCTCCTGCCTCCCCATCCTAACCATTATCCTTTAGATTTGCTACAGCTCTTCAGTGTCCCTCCTGAAATGTAACCTCAGAGCAGGGTGCCTTGCTCCTAATTACGTGGTGTCTGAGCACATCTAGTTATATCAGAGATTCTTCCTGTGAGTGTCTTTGTTCTATTGGATTGAATATTGAATATTGAATAGTATTCAATGCTTCTTTCCTGATACAGAAGGGAGAAAACTGACTCTGGAGTCAGAGGAACAGAGTTGAAATCCTACTTTCTCTTACCTATGTCACCTAGGACAAATCATTTAGCCTCTCTGGGCCTCAGTTTTCTTATCTACAAAATGAGGGAGTTGGATACAATGCCTCCGAGGTCCTTTCTAGCAATACAACTATAATTCTGTAATATGGGTATGGATTTCTACCCTCTCCCTCTTTCCTAAGACCCAGGATCTTCCAAACAGTTTTGAAGGTCCCTATGCACACCTTTGCTACGTCGCCTGATGCTTGAGCTGGATAGGCCTGGGATCGAGAGAACTGGCCTGTGTGGATTTTCCCCAGGTAGGCCAGGGGGCCTTCTTGGGGCAGGACACCACTAGGTTGAATAAGTTTTTCTTGAACTCCAACATGCTGTGATAAATATACCTTTGGTAAGAGCCAACAGGGATGAGTCAGGCCCATTGTTGGGGAAACTCATTTTCTGGAGCTGAAACCTCTTCTGGGGCCTGCTTTCCATTGAACTAATCATCCCTTTTCTGTTGGCGGTCTTGTGTGTAGGTAGCTGGTGGGGCCCTTGCGTGGCCCATGGATGGGAGAGTGGAGATGGAGATGTTGAGGACCTTGAAGGGCGCTGCTGCTGGGGAGGTCAGCGTCCACCTGGTTGCCAACGACAGCACTGGCCACCTACCAGCCACCACCTTCATCATCCCAGGTGCCCCTGGGCCCCAAGTCCTCAGCCAGCCTGGGGCCCCATCACTGCCTTTCCTTTGTCCTCCAATGACTCATGGCAGGGTGGGAGCTCAGAAAGAACCTCCCACTAGTCAGTCGAGGAGCCACACAGGCGCATTCCAGCCATGTTGTCTGGCTTCCCTGAGTATACCCAGGGTCCCAGTGCTCCTGGAAACCCTCTCTTGCCTCTGCTCTACCAGAGGGCCAGGGATCTGGGAGGCCAGGCCTGGGATGACTTGAGCTCATCCTCTTTGGGCTCCCTGAGTCTCTGGAAGCATCCTGGCTAGAGATCTCTAGGCCAGGTCTGGAGGACCCTTTCTTCCCAGACTTTGTCTAGTAGGCAAGAGGCGACTGGGATAAATGGTATTTCAACCCTGTGTGATGGTCCCCACCAGCTCCCAGCACGAGGGAATATGGTGGGACATGGAGGAAGTGGGGCTTAGGACGTCAGTTTACATCTTTGGTGTCTTGTTCATGCTCTGTCTATGTTCTTCTCTCAGCCAACACCACAACCATCAGCCTCCCCACCAACACCTTAGAGATCCCACGGTTCCCCAGAGAGTCCACACGTGCAGGAGGCTCAGAGCGGGTCCCAGGCAGCGAGCCTGTCACAGCCACAGTCCTCCCCCAACTCAGTTCAGGGCAGGCTGGCAACACTGTCCGAGTGCTGGAGTGGAAGGATGGGGCAACCTCCCTCCCTGGGAGCAACCTACGGGTGGGTCAGTCAGTATGGGAGGAAAGTATCCTCAGCCACCATGGCGGCCACCATGGTGGTGGGGAAGGCTGGAGGCCTTTCTGAGGGAGGTGGCTAAGCCCACTATGGTGTGATATCAATGGGATACAATGTTAAGAAGGCTGGCATTGGAATTAGAGGAGCTGGGTTCAAATGTGCCCTTCTGACACAACACTGGTAGAACTGTGAGCAGGTCACCTAGGCTCCCTGGTTCTCTGTTTCCACATCTTTAAAATGAGGGGGTTGGTCTAGGTTACTTCTGAGGTCCCTTCCAACCCTGAGCTATGACCCTGTGATGGAGCCCCCTCTAGGCCTTCTCCCCATCCCCCCAAGGCCTTCCATTGCTTGAAGGCCTCTGCCAGCATGAAGGGTAGAAGGGGGATTGTTACCTTTGTTAGGCCTGGAACAAGAGGGAAGAGGGCTGATTGGAGTCGGCTTACCCTCCTCTCTCTCCACCAGCTGCGGATCAGTGACTACGGGACACTGAAGGTGGTGGGCACAGACAAAATAACCTCCCCAGAGCTGCTCCGGGAAGACTCGGACCCAGACAGAGCCCCTCAGGGCCCAGTGGGTGGTGGTGATGCTGCCTCCCAGATACAGGGTAGGGCATTCCCCAGGCTGAGTTCTGGGCCTCAGGCCAGAGAAGAGAATAGAGGCTCTGTCTACCCCTAAGCAGGGGGCTTTTGTGGGGTTTCTTCCCAGGAAGGCTGAGTCCAGATTCTCTTTTCCTAGGATCCATTGTCATTGGGATCCTCCTGGGCTTAAATCAGAGGTTCAGGGCAGGAGCAGGACGTTTGGGGTGGGGTGGGTAGAAGGGGAGTTTGGGTCATTGAATTCAAGAGCTCTCTAAATTCACCTTTCACCCTAGAGGAGGGAGGGAGGCAGAGATGCAAGGGCCAGGAATAGAGCCGGGAGCTATGGGACACTAACCACTTCACATCCTTTGGTCCTGATGTAGAATGCCCTCAGGGGCGCCAAGATGAGGAAACTTTGGGCCATTGCCACATGTGTGGGCGTCAGAATGTATCAGGGCAAATCAGGGGTTTCTGCAGTGAGCAATGCCATCGACAATTCAAAGAACGGTAAGAGGAATGGGGACCTGGAAGTGGGGTAAAGGACTCCCCCATCGCAGACTGGGGAATACGAGATCCCTTGGCCCTTAGCCCCTCGTTGAGTGGGAGGCTCTTCAGGGCCATCATCAAACATCTAGGTCATCAGCCAGGGATCACCCCCCAGCTCACCGGTTAGGAAACCAGGGCCCCTCTGGCCTCCTCTCCCTTATATGTGTGGTCTTCTCTCTTGGAACATAAACTTCTCAAGAGCAGGAAAAGTCTACAAAGTATTTGTATCCCTGTGCTTAGCACGTAGTGAGTTCTTAATAAATGTTTTTCCATTCATTCATTCATTCATTCATTCATTCATGTAGATATGCAGTTCACTGGATCCTGAAGGGAATTGGTTGAGATGGGTAGGAAGGCAGCCCCAGATGCCTGTATTTTGAGGGGATAAGAACTCGAGACCTGGGGTGGGTGCTATGGAGAGAGATAAGACCCTCATTTCCCTCAGGTCTCCCTGTTTCTTCTTTCTTCCTTCAGGTCTGTGATTGTGGAGAACTCGGGGGGCAGCACCAATACATCTGAGCTCCTGAAGCCTGTGAAGAAGAGGAAGAGGAAGGAGTACCAGAGCCCTTCCGAGGAGGAATCCGAGTCTGAACCTCTGGTAGGGAGAAAGGTCTGGGGAGATGAAGAAGATGATGGTGGTGACCCAGGCAGGGACTAGAGGGTCCCCAGTGCCACACATGCCTTTGTCCATTTGTTAAGATACTTATTAGAGTCCTCGCTGTGTATGGGGCCATGGGCTGGGGAGTGGGGGTGGGGACAGTTGGGCTGGAGCCACTCCTGTTGTCAGTTCGCTGATAACATGACTTGGCGAGAAGATGGGGATGTCTATAGGATGGGCATCCTCTGAGTCCTTGGGCTCACCTGAGTAACAGCAGCAGCAAAGTCTGTTGGAAGAGGACATTACGGGCCTGGGTAGCAGTGGCTACTGAGTCACACAGCTCTTTCCTGAAGGGGAGAGAGAAGTGTGTGTGTTGGAGGTTTGAGGGTGCTAAGGACAAGTGAGGGTGGGGTATTGGGGAGGAATAAAGAGAGAAAGTGTTGTCCAGTTTGCTCCCATGCTAGCAGCTGGGAGCCTGGCCTGAGCCCAGCACACTGGATGTGTTTGAGGCCTCAGTTTTCTTATCTGTGGCTACTCATTGGTCCAAAGCTCTTTGGGTAGTACATGTTTGAAAGTGCATCTAGGGGGCTAAGCTGACAAATTTCATTTGGGGCAGAGACTTCATCCTAGAAACTGGGAAGAGGCTTATCTTCCACAGGAGAAACAAGAAGAACGGAAGAGCCTAGATGCCGAGCCCACTGCTGACACCCCTGAAAGCGAGGAATGGAGTAGCCAGCCTGGTATGGTACCTGTGTGTGCAGGAACAGTGAGTTCACATGGGTGGCAGTGTGTCTGTAGACAAGAATGTTTATCGTGAATGTATATGAGTAGATTTATCTGTTGTGAAACTATAATGAAACAGTGCTGCACAGCCCCAGACCAGCTACTCTCAGCCAGGTGGCACAGTGGATGGAGCACTGGGCCAGAGTCAGCAAGACTTGAGTTCAAATCCAGCCTCTAACACTTCCTAGTTGTGTGACCCTTGGCAAGTTACTTAACCTCTGTCTGCCTCAGTTTCCTCAAGTAGGGATAATATATGGGGATAAAATAGCACCTGTCTCCCTGGGTTGTTGAGAATCAAATGAGATAATATTTGCAAAGTTCTTAGCACAATGCCTGGCATACAGTAGGTGCTTAATAAATACTTATTCTCTTCCCCTTTCATTCCCATCTCATTACCTTATGTGTGAGTTGGAGGAGAAGGAGGTGGGATTATTTTTTTATAAAACTGTGCCTGGCTCTGGGTGTTCCCCATTTCTCACTTTCCACCCCCAGCTTCTCTAGAATGCTTGTTTCTCCAACCTAGTCTTTGGCAATCTAGCCCCCACAAGAATGATTTTAATTGGTCAGTCAACAGGCATTTTTTTAAAGTGCTTACTGTGTGCCAGGAACTATGTTAAACACTGGGATACAAAGAAAGCCAAGAACAGCCCTTGTCCTCAAGGAGCTCACAGTCTAATGGGGGAGGCAGCATGTAAATAAGTAGGTACATAGACAATATATACAGAATGAATGGAAGTAATCTGAAAGGGGGAAGAAAGAATACAATTTATTTTTTTAGGAACAAAATTAAACTTCTCACATGAGAAACTCTATAGTTTTTTCACAGAAAGTCACACAGTTGAAGAATACTCCAAGCTTCATCTATTTCATGCTATTCTATTGGCTTACTTCAGGTTTAAACCCTCTGTCACCCATTGTCCCCATGTACTAGAAGTATCAAGTAGCCCTGTCCAGGTCCTGCCTGTCATTGATTCTCATCAGTTTGACATGGTGGCACATGAGCGTAATCATCCGTAACTGAGTGCATTGTGAGACTGCACTGTGCCGGATGTGTGTTTATAGCTTCAGTGAATAGGTACATTTGTTCAGTTTTCAGAATTATGAAGTCCTAGGTAAGAAATGGAATTCCTTAAGATCATCGGTGGTATTTTCATCCTAGTTGCCAAATTGATGGTGGGGGCTTCAAGGGAGGGTCAGTTTGGGAAGTGAAAAAGCTGGTTAAGATAGTATCTGAGGACAGAATCGAGATTTTGACCACGGCTTACACCATTAGGAATGATGGACCCTTGGCCAGGATTGGAGTATTCCTAACGAGACCAATAAAATACATATTTGCCTGGAATTTGCAAATCTAAGCATGAGGGCTTTAAACTGAAAAGGGGAAAAAATTACACATATAGTATATATGCATATATGTTTATATGTAATCTGCCAAGCTATATTGGAGCCAGTACAATATTGTGGTAAATAATATCTAAGAACCTAGTTAGCACTAAAACATCTATCTGGTCTCAGATATCTATAGGAAAACTATAGATGATAAATATGGTGAACTGGAAAAATCCATACAAGGAGACAAATTCAACCTTCTAGGTATCATTGAAACTTGTTGGGATGGTTTTTCATGGAATGTGGCTATGTAAGGGTATACCTGATTCGAAGGGAACAGAAAATATAAGAGAAAAGTAGAGTATTATTATGAACATTGGCAGTGACATAGGAGTGAAAAGCCAGCTGCCTTGTCCTCCAGGGCCATCAGCAGGAGACATTTGTGTGAAGGCTGTTCATATCTACTGATTCTCCCTTCTGGGTTCTCCTTCTCCCAGGTTCTTAACATATTAAGGAATGAATCTCTCAGCTCTTGCTCACATACACTGTTTACTCCACTTGCCTTCATCCACAAAAGTTCATTAATTTAGTAAACAGTTTTAATCGAACTGGAAAAAAGGAACAATAAAAGCAGAAATGTTAATCACTTAAAACATAGGCAGCATGTACATTCCATTTGAAGGGCAGTGAGGTGGCACAGTGAGGAAGGTGCTGGGCTTGGAATCAGGAAGACTCATCTTCCTAAGTTTAAATCCGGCCTCAGACATATACTAGCTGTGTGATCTTGGGCAAGTCCCTTAACCTTGTTGGCCTCAGTTTCCTCATCTGTAAAATGAGCTGGAGAAGGAAATGGCAAGCCACTCTAGTATCTTTGCCAAGAAAACTCCAAAATGAGGTCACAGAAAGTCAAAAACAACTGAACAACAACAAAAACATTCTCTTCAATCCCATGTCCAGCTCCTGGAAGAAAATTCAGTTTAGCATCTGTTTTTTCCCAAGCCCAAGTCTTAATCCCCTAAGAATAGAAACAGTATATGGCCATAAATGCCCCAGCTCCCAGATGCAGCACAAGGTGTAGGGAGACACCTAGGACTCATTCTGTGAGTCTTAATTCACCGTAAGGGAAGAGGCTTGAAATCCAGAAGACCCCTTTCCTTTCTGCTATAGTTGGTTTGGGCCATTTGCCTCCATATTATTCACTCAAGCAAATGAAAGGCTATTTAAGCCCTTAGCCAGTGCCAAAGAATACCTGTGTTAGCAAGCAGAAACTTGCTTATTATATCTATCTCAGTCTCTACTCATAGGGCCATTGACCTAGAACTGGAAGGGAAAAGCCTTAGAAGCCACCCAGTCCAACCCCCTCATTTAATAGGTGAGGAAGTCAGCGAGTAATTTATTAAAGAATTTTTAATTTTTAATTATTAAATAATCATCAATAAACAATAATCAATATTAATAATTATTAATGTCAATTATCAATAATTGTATGCAATAATTGTTAATGTTAATTATTGATGATGATTAAATAAATAGTTATTGGTTGTTAGTTTTAAATTATTTGGTAATTTAATAAGTGAGGCCCAAGTAACTTGCCCAACCTCACAGTTAGGAAGTGGCAGAAGTGAGATTTGAACTTGGATCCTGTGACTCCCGTGTTGTTTCCACTTCTATACTTTCTTTTACTTTTAAAGTCTGCTACTTTATCTACCCTTGAAGCCTGCCTTTGTTAGGAAGTGTTGATGCTTAAAAGCTTCTAAGGTTGCTAGGTCCAGTAGAATTTGTGTCTTCGCTTGGAGCCTGGATATGGGAACCCATGTTTCTCTTCTCTCCTCCTTCAAAAGTGCATGCATGATTCCAATATCACCACCATCCATCTGTCTTCTTTACAGATAGAAGCTATGTCAGGATGTCAGTCAGTCAATAAGAATTTTTTAAGCACCTACTAAGTTCCAGGAACTATGCTAAGTGGTAGGTATACAAAGAAAGGCAAAAGATAATCCCTGCCCTCAAGGAGCTTACAGTCTAATGGACAGTGGCCTGACAAAGGGTTAAACTGCCTTCTGTTGCATTCTTTTGCTTGCTTCCAGTGGAAAAATGTTGTTACTTCTACAAATTCAGTGAAGTACATTTGAGACACCTGTAAGCATACATTATAAGCATCTATCAATACATACATTATAAACATCTATCAATTTGCCATGACATAGCTACAGGTAATTATCTCAACTACCCTGTATAGTATTTATGCAGGTCCTTTACCTTTAACCTATTAGAATTGGATGCAGCAAGCATGAGTACATGTTTAAAAAAAAAAAAGAATATTTATGATAACTCCACAATCAATAGCCCAAGGACAAAAGTCATGAAATATATAACACAGAGCATTCTGTCACAGGGTTGTGTGCAATTAATACATGTCACAGAGGGCAGATGTAGGAGTAATATAGGCACATATAACAATAGCCTGTGAGCACTAGCATATCAGCATGTTTGTCAACAAAGCATCATGCAGCGTTATAAGCATACTGCATAACAAATACCTAGGTCTTCAAAGTTACACATTACATGCTTTCTAGCTACATGGGGAACCACTCCCCCACTATTGCTTTTGAAGTATCATTAATTAGCTTGGTCACTAGCCCAACAATCCTGGCACTTCTACTGTAGCCATGACTTGTGGGATACACAGGCTGAATGTTAGCATCCTCAGACCTGCTGGCCTGCAGTCCCTATCCTGAGCATGTAGATGGCCCAAGGTGGCTAATTCTGTCTCCAAGTTTCCTGGTAGCCTTCTGGCAGAGTTGGGATATTGGGTAAGAGGCTTCTTCTGGACTAGACTCCCTCTTCCCTCCCTCTGGAGAGAGGTGCCCCCTAAACTCAGCTAACTTCCAAGCTACTCTCCTCCTCTGAGAGACTCTCTATAATTGAAGAATAGACTCTTTTCTTCACTAACTGTCCATCACTCTTGTCCTCCTGCTAACCCAACTTCTCAGTAGGGCAGTAGGTGGTTGTGATGTATCTCTTCACAGGGCCTCCTTATTAAAAACTGGGTTATTGAGTTCTGTTGTTTCTGATTTACCCTTGTCTAGTCTGTTGCATTGATCCACTTCTCTATTTTTTTAACCAATACCAGACAGTTTTGATGACTGCTGCTTTATAATAATATAGTCTAGAAGTACTATTACCCCTTTGCCCCAACTTCTTTTCTTCATTTACCTTGATATTCTAGGTCTTTTGTTTTTTTCCAAATGGCATTTTGTTAATATTTTTATCAAGTTCTATAAAGTATCTATAATGTAATTTTGTAAATTAACTTTGGTAGCATTGTCATTTTTATTATATTGGCACAACCTAGCCATGAACACTGAATATTACTCCGACTATTTAAATTGTTATTTATTTCTTTAAGGAGCACTTTGTCATTGAATCTATACAAGTCTTTTGTGAGCTTTGGTAGATCAGACCCCAGATATTTTATGCGTTTTGTAGTCATTTAGAATAGGATTTCCCTATTATTATTGCTTCTTGGGTTTTTGTAATTATTATGTAGACATGCAGTTGATTTTTGAGGGTTTATTTGGTAGCCTGCAACTTTGCTGAAGTTATATTATCTGTGTCTTTGCTGATT